GTGGTTGGTAAGTAAGTTACCGAACGTGATCGATTTAGTGGAAGTAAAGGACCCCCTGTGGAATCACTTGGACGTCGCTTACAGTCAGTATATTGGAGAAATGTTGTTTCCAAAGATATTTGAGCATTTAGTAACGAATAGTATTAATTAAATGATATCTTGATAGTTTTGTTAAGTTTGATGAATGCAACTGTTATTGTGATTTTGCCTCCGCCTTTAGACGAAGTCATAATTGACTTGCATTTCATAGTTAGAGACTGAGTCAGTCATGAAAAGTATTTGTGTGTTTTTAAGATATTATTAGTTATGAAAATAATTGTATATATGTTATATGTAATTAATTATTTATAAAAGAGGTGAAAGACTTAAAAGGCAGTGGAATTATAAAGGTAAAATTAAATAGGTTTTTTAATTGTTTTACTTTTTGTTAAAAAATGCATCTCGGTCACTAAACACAAAAATAAATGCATTTTGAATTGACATAGGTAATTAGTATAACTCAATAAGAATAAGTTTTCGACTTCTATTAACGGTTTTTTTTAATGTATTTTGCAAGTATCATTAATTCGTTTTTTATTATAAAACTACTTATGCCATAGACAATAGTCACCTAATATATATTTCGTAATGACGATGACGAATAATCGGAATCAGTCACTATGTAAACGAAACAGAAAAGTCGGCCTTTGCTTTTCGAATAATTTTATTTATCGATTTATGTTAATACTTAAAAATAAGACTAGCCAGAGACGTGGCTTATTTTATTTCCTGTATTTTTAACACTGATTTGAAAAAATAATTTATGGGCTTGCAATTACGTGGGAATGGCATACGTACGGGGCCCACAAAGTAGCAAATGTTACGGGCCCCGCGCATTAGCTACTTTTGTAACGTGCCTAATTCGGCTCTGAAAGACCTTTACAGCCGCCATTCGCCCCCATTTTGGTGCCTGTGTAGGGATCCCTTTGCAGGATGAAGTTATGACTCAGATGGGACACACCACTACGCGCCCGCCTAGTTTGCCCAAATGACAGTGTGGGATTACTCAAACTTCATCGATGCTACATTTGGCATTCAAGATGTTTTTCGATAATAATACTAAAGTAATGCTAGTCTGTTATATATCAAAATTTAAATTTTTTGGAACCAAAAAAAGCCGCTTATACTCATAGTAAATATCTGACCAAGGACATTGCAGAATATATCTACAAGAAATCGGTCATGTCTATTGTAAGAACCACCTTCTTTTTTAAGTTAGTTAAAAAGTGAATCCGGTGTTGCCCTCGGATCATAGAAAGCTTGTTTAGTGTTGTTCACGTACAATTAACGATAGCGTTTATTTTATATATATTTAATCAATAATCAGACAAATACCACAATTTTCCTATTTTTCTCTTTTATTCTGACTTCAGACTCTTCTCTTTTGAAAAATGAAGAGTAATAAATATACTTTAGTTTTTAACCAGTACCGCCAAGGAATGATTAGACTTTAATAACTAGAATAAGTTATTACAATATATAAGTTAAGCGATTTCTGGAAAGAGGACAACACCCCTTGGCAGAGAAGACTAGACAGCCGATGTTTAGTATGAGAAAGAGAGGAATCTGTGGACTATTCTTTTTTTTACTTTAGGCATTGTCCTCGCCCTTTGTTGGGCGGCAGGGGACTCTCTATCCGCACGGACCGATCCTAAAGCTAATCAAAACGCGGATGGCATAGTCCCCTCTCTCTTTTGGGGTAAGAGCCAGGGATCCAGCAGGGAGTGCTCCACACACAATCGCCGATTACTTTCACAACGGAGAAGACTCGCGTGCATCAGAGCCTCTACCCAATCAGTCGGGGACGTGCAATGATCAGATGGTTGTCGATCACCTGGTCTGCTCCACCTGCTGACTATCCTAGTGTTGTCGAGCAACATTACTGAAGTTCCAACTTCTTCAGGTTCAGAATAGAAGTTGGAACAAGGCCGTTTGTCAAAACTAACGACTGGTTATCTCAGTAGACGTCACTCGCCACATAACGGTAACCTCAAGGTTTATTGCCTGATCCAGCTTTCCCGAGATTTTTATCTAAAGGAATATTGACGTCCATTAAGCACAGACGCGTATCGTCTTCCGTGTCATGAATACAATTTCAGACTTATTGGCAGGTATCGTTCTGTCTATAATGATGGACCGGCCCCAGTATAGTCGAACACTGGTTCTGGAATATATCTATTTGTTTGGCGCCTTTTTTACCGTAACGTTGATCAAACGCTTGGATATCGATTGAGTTTGTAGGTCGAATCTGACAAAGCTGATTATACCTTTTCATCTGTCGCTGACTTCAAGGCTAATTAAAGGTGGAGTATCTGTCTTTGCAGATATTATGTTGGCCAAAGTAAAGGAAGTCCGCGAGCTATATGCTTGAGTAACTCCAGGTTGGTGACAGGTTCGATAAACTCTGTCAGGGAAGGCCAATGCCTCAAAAGTTGGGTGTCAATAGGTTGTGAGGTTGATATTGACAAATTAAGAAATAAAAAAACAGGCACATTGTATTATGTTTGAAATTTATCTATTCAAATTTAAATGACAAATAAAAATAACTTTTGACTTCGTCTGCCAAGACGACGACAGTGAAACCTGTCTTTGAGTTGAAAAAACACGCGTTTAGTTTGTTTGTAATTTTTTTTATCATCGCTATTTGGAAATGATAAGATGGCTGTCAAACTTGTTTTGAGTAATTTGGCATCATGCGTAAGCAAACGTGACTCTTTGAGGGGAAGGGAGCCTGGGGATTGGGGTAATAATAAATACTAACAAAACGGTATCAATAGACCAGTTAATGAGACCTATAGGACCAGAAACAAAAAAAAAAATATATTATAATTATAGAAAACATTACATAGATTGTTCAAATTCTAAGATGTTTAGCCAAAGTCCCCGTATTATGGAGTATTGTGGAGTATAGGAAAGTACATTTTCTATATTGACGAATATTGGGAATCGAACCCGGGACCCCAGAGATGGAGACGCCTTAAAAGCAGCGTGCGAACCACTCTGCTACAGAGGTAGTATCTATTGTAAGAACCGCCTTCTTTTTTAAGTTTATTAAGTACCGCGTGAGTTTTTCTTTAGTTTGTTAAGTACCGAGAGTAATACCTTGTAAAACTATGGTTAATATAAAGAAACTCGTTTAACGATATATTTATGACCCCGTGATCCTTAATGTCACTCTTCAACTACACAGTGGTCAGTTAGACTTAAGACTTAAAAACCTTAAAAAGTAAGGTAGGGAGCGCTAAGATCGATTTTATTCGTAAATCAACATAAAAACATTAAAAAACTCTGTTTTAAATTTTTATATAGTTGAGATGAAATCTATCAATGGTAAGTAGAGCCAATTGTAACTTTTACAAAATATTTGATATTTATGATCAAAGATTTTGTGAAAGTTCAGTTTTGATATGATTTTATTTTTTGTATTGGCATTCGCTTAAATAAAATGTGTTCAAAAAGGCAATACTACACCCGCCCTTATATATAATTATATTCGTAGTTTAGTATCAGAGTATGAATTTATATTAAATTTAAAAAAAAAATTAAACTTGAACCACGGGTTGCATTCCTCTATCTAGCAGAATCATGAAGTTTGAAAACTTATTTGGCATAACGTTCTTTTGACAAATACCAGTCCTGAAAATTATTAGACATAATTTATCGATATTTGTCTGTCTGAATTTTCAATTGCAGGTGTGTAAAAAATTAAGGCGGGATAACATTTTGACAAAGTTCATTGTAGCTTAATTTCGTTAAGCATAATAAAAAGATAGATAATATTTTTCTATTGAAATTTCCTATCCAAAAGGCGGATACGATAAAGAGGATGACAGGAGCGCAGAACGATTGAATTCAACTCTATACCGTGAAGTAAAGTATATACTTTGTTTAGTTATTCAACTATTGAAAAATAAAGATCAATAATTATAAGTAAGAACTGGTTAATTCACTTCACTGTTGGTCGCGGATCGTCGGTTGCAATCACGCCGTTGTGCATCAGTAAGTTTACCGGTTGCGTTAGTATTAAAACTACAATTGTTTGAGTACCTACGTTTGTAACATGTGATTTTCTTTTGCTCAAATCCAAACGAAGTACCGAAAGAATATATAAAAGTTCATTTTCTACATTTATCTGACCCGGAATCGAACCCGGGAAGTCAGACATAGCGACAACCTCATATCGACGCTTTGAAAGCGACATCGAGCTACTACGGCCACTGAGGTCGTTGATTAATGGAAAATTATCCACAACTTCCAAATATCTGCAACAGGAACTAAACTACAGAATTTTCCTTATAGACAAAAATCCATGTGGTCGCATATCCGATATTCAATCACGGAAACGCAATCGCATAATCTCCGTTGGACTTCGATTGTATTGTTTACGTGTTGTGACAACCGGTACTACTGATCATACCTACTATCTAGGGCTGCCAATCGTGTATCGTTATTTAAAATATGCCGAACGACACGTTAAGTAATAAAAAATATCGCAATTTATTTCATCTTAACACTCTGCACATCTTGCTTCAAAACTAAAAGAAAATTTTTGACTCTACTAGTTTTTCATGATTTGGCCTTATAGCCTTATAGTAAATGCTATAAGTATACCAATTGAAGTTATTTTATCAAAATAGGTGAGTAGTTTTAAAAAGTAATAAATGTATTTTTTTATTTGATAATATTCACATGATTGGCCTTTGTTAATCTGTCAATTTTTTTACAATTGGAGTAATATACATCGCAAAATAAGTTTTATCACAGCTATCTAAATATATATGTTTTTATTTTTACTATAATAAGCTAGAAATTGATTTCGATAATTTAATTACATCATGTTTCTTTAATGTTTTTTAAGCAAATTGCTATGAATATTTTTGATATATTTCATGAAAAATTTGACAACCCTGCCGCTATCAAAAAGCGGTCCCGCAGCTTATATCAGTGGTAACGTTGTTATTATGCCAGTTGTTAATATGACGCCAAAAGGAACCCTCACGAGTAACATACTCGTTGTGATATCGATTGCGGCAGTTTTTTACGCTATCACTTTTCCGATTAAAAATGTAACTAGGAAGAAGCCTGGTAATCAGGAGAATATTGTTTTCAATTTCACGCAGATGACCACGCAAAATGGATATACATCAGAAGAGCATACCGTTGTAACCGAAGATGGATACATTTTAAGAATATTTAGAGTCCAAGGTGGAAGAAAATGTGATGGAAAAAGAAGATCACTGCCGGTTTTATTGATGCATGGTCTTCTTTTGAGCTCGGATGTGTGGCTCGACGCCGGGACTGATAATGGATTAGCCTACCTTATTGCCAACGCCTGCTTCGATCTCTGGGTGGGCAATTGCAGAGGAAACTACTATTCCAGAAGGCACGAGACTCTAGACCCTGATACAGATGCTAAATTCTGGCATTTCTCCGTGGATGAAATTGGACATTATGACGTCCCTGCTATGGTAGACTACGTTCTGGATTATACAGGAGCGGAAAAGCTCAACTATGTCGGATATTCTCAAGGTGCTAGTACTTTTTTCATTATGTGTTCAGAGAGACCTGAATATTGTAATAAAATTAACAAGATGATAAGTCTAGCGCCTGCTTCGAGGCAATTTAACACAGCCTTGAATCCTTATCGCTTATTACTGAGGCTCTTTGCTTTAGGCCATCAATATCTTAGAGCTATGGGTGTAGAGGAAGTGCTTTCGAACGGGGCATTTCTTCAGGAGTTCCTGGCATACGCCTGTGAAGCTTACTGGACCAGCAGTATTTGCAATTACGGTACTAGTGTGCTTATTGACTCCTATCATCCTGGATCTGTGACTAATGAAACGACGAAGATAATGTTCAAACATTTCCCTGCTGGCACGTCCTTGCAGAACATGGTGAGATACGGTCAGAGTGCAATTAGTCCTGATTTTCAGAAATACGATTATGGGAAAGACATAAACATAGATGTATATGGACAAGAAACACCTCCTAAGTTCAATTTGAGTGCTGTTACTACACCTGTAGTAATTCTTTATGGAAAGAACGATGCATTAGTTAGTGTTAAAGATGTGAAGTGGTTGGTAAGTAAGTTACCGAACGTGATCGATTTAGTGGAAGTAAAGGACCCCCTGTGGAATCACTTGGACGTCGCTTACAGTCAGTATATTGGAGAAATGTTGTTTCCAAAGATATTTGAGCATTTAGTAACGAATAGTATTAATTAAATGATATCTTGATAGTTTTGTTAAGTTTGATGAATGCAACTGTTATTGTGATTTTGCCTCCGCCTTTAGACGAAGTCATAATTGACTTGCATTTCATAGTTAGAGACTGAGTCAGTCATGAAAAGTATTTGTGTGTTTTTAAGATATTATTAGTTATGAAAATAATTGTATATATGTTATATGTAATTAATTATTTATAAAAGAGGTGAAAGACTTAAAAGGCAGTGGAATTATAAAGGTAAAATTAAATAGGTTTTTTAATTGTTTTACTTTTTGTTAAAAAATGCATCTCGGTCACTAAACACAAAAATAAATGCATTTTGAATTGACATAGGTAATTAGTATAACTCAATAAGAATAAGTTTTCGACTTCTATTAACGGTTTTTTTTAATGTATTTTGCAAGTATCATTAATTCGTTTTTTATTACTATAGTAGTTATTGTTTCTTTATTAGGATTTTTTTGTTGGTGGACCCTTAAAATGTTTAATTTATTTAATATAAATAATAAAGGGCAAGGTGGTTCATTAATATAGTTGTTTCAATGTTTTTTTTTATAAATAAAATGTTCCTTATTCTATTATAATATTATGTTTTGCACTTATTTTTATTCTATTGAGGGATAACACATAGTTATACAATGTATTAATGCTATTTTTTTATGAAGAGTGCATAATTGTCTTATCAGCATTATAATTAGCTAATAGGAGCTTTGATATTCTGTAAATAAGAAACCGTTACCTTTTGAAGTAGGTTTTAAACCTCCGATGCTGCTACAGCGCTGTATCCGACGTCGTATTTTTAAGAGAAACACAGTGCACAACAGACGTATACAAGTAAATATACCGTTAATTAATGTTACAACTAAAATAAATAATCACAAACTACAGTCGATTAAATTAGAACTAATGATATCTGTTAAAAATAAAATATTATATTCTACATTAAGTTGTATGTAAAACTATCTACATTTCAAATATTAATTAGTAAATTATATTCTGTTATATATCAATACATTTTTAGCTTATGTTTAAGTAAAGTGAAAAATTATTTAACAAACTCGTTTTTTTTATAGGATGTCGAGATGTTATACCATCTCAAATTGTATTTCTACATTAACTTCTTGGCTATGCTCAAGTCCCGAATTTATAACGGCTCATTTACATTGGTCGATAGATCCCGTATACGGCGAGCCAGCGATGTCTGTGCCTCAAATAATCGCGCGTTTACAGCGTCGGATATGCAATACGGAAGTTAAGCAACTTTTGCAAGGACCGGTCATAATAAGATGGGTGACCAAAATTTTAGTATCACGACTTCCTCTGTTCTTCGGTAGACACGTTAAGCCGTTAGTCGAGATTGCATCTGCAGTTGTTAACAACCACTAATCTGCTCCAAGCCCGCGTGGTGGTCGTGGCCCAGTTTTATTCAATTCATTCGCATACAGAGGCCTGCACCTCAACAGTTTAGATATTAATAAGCTTATTAGAATGACAAATCGCCCGCAGGCCGCATGCTTGATCACAAAATCATGTCGTACAGTTCGATTTAAATATCAAGGTGATAATACATCGCGAAAAGATATAAACAGATAAAAAGTTAAAATAAATTCGCAGGTGCCACGTACGATGGGTTGATAAAAAAAGGCACGTAGTTTTTATATCGCAATCGTTAGAAATGTATCCTATTGTTTTTAATGAAAATTTTTGTTATCTCTTAACCTGTAATATACTGTAAAAATTAAGTGTATTAAGTTATGGAATTTGATTAACTTATTTTTCTTAATGATTTATTTTAAGGGCTTCTATAAACAAAAGTAAGGCCTAATACTCGGTTATCTGTGACGCTATAAATAAGATGAATAAATACTATATTGTGCTCATATTAACCATAATATATCAAATTATTGCAATTAATTTTGAACTCTACCATCAATACAAAATAATAAAGTTTCAAAGCAAATGGAGAAATTTAATAACCTGACATGCTGTTTACAGTACAATATTTGGTCTTATCGTTAAAAACAATTTCTCCTGGGCAACAGTAAGTCAGACTGGAATGATTAAACATATATATCGTAATATTATTAAAATTAACGATATTATCGGTATAATTTTTAATATATAATAAGTTTAGAAGTAATCACCTATCCAGTTGCTGGATCATCTTAAGTCCAAGAATTCTTATCTGTTATATAATCGGATACCTTATAATAAGCTTTTTAATAAGTATTTTTTATGAGTAGATTTTGCTTGGGACCTTGTTGTAGAAGCGCACACTAAGACCCCTGAATGAGTGACTAACTTTTTGCAGACTAGTGACAGGCACCGTTAATTTTTTTTTCTTGTATTAAAATTGTGTACATCACTTTTTATAGAAAAAAAAAATTAATATTTTTCCGAACGTACATCAAGTTCTCGCATATGTATTGAGAAGCAACAGTGATTATGTCGATTTCCTTAAATTTCTCCCTTAAAGAGTCCCTAATCCTAAGATTATAAATAGATCTAATTGGTCTTTTCTGAAGCACAAAATCGTTTGTAGGTCGGCAGCATTTCCCCACAATAGGATTCCCTACGACATTATATTATAAAAGTAACTGAAGTATACTAATCTGGCAATATTTATATCAGTTAACGTACGCATCTTCATTACGCCATATGCTGCAGAGCTAAGTCTACTCGACAATTTATCAATATATGAGCCCCACTGTAGTTTAGAATCTAATGTTATTCCTAAAAATACTGTGGTATCCACAAGTTATTTATATTAAACCAATGTACTACTTTAGCAATAGGATTGTTCACATCGTCATTTAGAGGTAGCCCTCTTTTAATTTTAAACAAAAGTGAAGTTTCATCCGCAAACAAAACTATTTCGTGATTATCCCTTACGTAAAAGGGGAAGTTATTTATGTAAATCAAAAACAAGAAAGGACCAAGTATTGAGCCCGCCAGAACACCCATCTTAACTTTCGATCCAGGGTATCTTCGGCATTGATATCAACCCTCAGTACTCTGTCAGTCAAGTTTGAGACAATAAAATCCAATGAGTTATCTCTAAATCCATAATAATGAAATTTCCTAATCAATGTTTCATGAAAAACACAATCAAATGCCTTAGATAGGTCACAGAAAACACCCAACGCATCATGTGAATCCTACCGGGCATTAAAAACCTCCCATTTACTTGACACTGACTTCGGTTGTTGACCGACCCCTTGTAAAACAAAATTGTTGTCGATTCATAAGGTTATTCTTGTAAAAGTATGTTTTTATTTAATACAGCATGATTTTTTCAAAAATATTACTAAACTTAGGTAGCACGGATATAGTCTAAAGTCAGTAGGGTCAGATGTGCTGCCCGATTTATGTAAAGGATTAATTTTACTATATATCATGAGCTCACGAAAAATACCAAAATCAGTACATTCATTAAATATGAGTATATAAGCTAGGATTGGAGCTATTGTCTCAATGACCGATTTAGAAACTTCAATGGAATTACCCCATAAATCAGCGGTTTTCGTTTTCTTTAGCTGATTAAAAGATTTTATTATATCTTTAAAATCAATATGTTTAAACTTAAATTGGCTATTACAATTATTTAAACATGCCTTTAAAATAGATTCAGCAACAGTGGAAGAGGAATTCAAAGATTGTATAATTAAGACCGGAATTTCAGTAAATAAATTTTCAAATACTGTAGTAATTTCAAGATCAGATGTTACTTCTTGATTATCAATGTATAAATTAAAATTTATATTCCGGGATTTTCTCTTCCAGTTTCACTATTTATGATATTCCACGTCATTTTAACTTTACCTTTACTATTTTTAATTTTCGCATTGAAATAATTACATTTGGCTAAACGACACACTTTTTTAAATAATTTAGAGTAGGTAATATCATACGTATTCTTTGAAGTCCTCACTTGCGTTTAATTACGTTCATCATATAGATCATTGAGCCTTTTTCTGTTTGTGTAGATTCCTAGTGTAGCCCACGTTACTATTATTAATACTCATGATAATATAAGACAGGGGAGGGGACGTGGAACGCAATATCAAGTTTCTTTTCTAAATGGACTTAACTAATACCAATCCACCCAGCATTTTGTACTGGGCCCGCGTGTAGAACAGGTATATTTAATGAGTGAAATTAATCTATCCAGTAATTTATAGTGGGCTTGGCCTTAGGCCAACTTAGTAAATAAATTACCACCCATCAGATTACCGGCCTTTGCGTTTGTTGCTTAACTTTCGCAGTCGCAGAACAAATACGCTGACCACTACATCATCGAGCTTTTCGCCGCTTGCTATAGGAGGGATTCATTTAATTATTTTTTTGCATTGAGTATCCGTGCATGTGAAATTGAGCACTGATATCGATCCTAGTGTGCAATTTCATGAGTAAGTTCCGATTCTTCGTACATGTTACTCGATATCGAGTTGCATCGCATTGAGCAATGAGTAAAGAGCATTAGGCTCAACACAATAAGTGTTTTCTTTGTTTGTGGATTAGAGATGTTTAATAATTTTTGACCAAACACAGGTCAGAAGTACTCAGGAGTACGGCGCGCGCTGTGCGAGTGTAATAAAGTGACGTTACAGCATGTAGCGGCGACCTCGCGTGGTGCGCCTAACTTAAAAATTTAATATTTTGAAAACTTTATACGACAAAATAAGTTTAACATATTTTTTTATTTTTAATTGAGTAGGTATATTATACCGTAAAAATCATAAATCCACCACATTCCTCGTTGCAAGAGTCGAAACAGACTTATATTTGTAAGTTATATAGATAATATTAAACGGAAAAAAAAAGAAAGTCATTTTATGATATCAATTCAACTTTGGACAGTAATATTTTCTATCAATGCTGTTAATCATATTAAATATTAATTTAAAATTTCGTTATCGAACGACGATTTCGAACGCTTTTGTTATTGAACTCTAAGATAAATTGTTACGTTATCGAGCGGAACGTCGGTCATTGCACCGACATATACAGCATTATATATGTTACTAACTATTTATTATTACTATTAGAATGTCATTGCCAAATTATATTGGCATATAATCGAAAAGTCG